ACATGTATAATGTTATTAGGTAATTTTTATAGCTAAAGGTTATAGTTAAAAATCAAACATAAGTCATGGATAGGAATTTGAACAACCAACCAACCCCTTCGGGAATTATATGTAATCGTCACCGACCACAGCAGTGGTTTGTTCGGTGATTAAATTAAATTTACATACACTTATAATATTATGGTTGTATACTTGTATAATACCTACGGCTGTACGTGGAAACATATCCAAGTTTACCTAATTATTGGGCAGTGACGATAATATGTTAAAATATTAGTTGATTAACACGACCATAGTATTATACTAATATAAATAATATACACTTAAAATCCAAATCCAAAATCTAAAAAGTCCACGAGAAAATGTTATCGACATTAACGCGACGCGATGTAGGTATATTATACGCGTTAACATCTATCAAATCAGTTAGTTCGTACATCGTTCATACAATACACTCGTTTGTGTATAACTCATAATATATGTGAACATATCCTTGTAATTTTGCTTTAGGTAGGTAGTGAATTATTGTGGATCTATAAATGTAGAAAACATTGAATTTGTATTCGTTTCATTTAGTTCACATTTCACGTTAATATAGTTTTGGTAAGTAAGTAGGTAATTGCAACGCATTTGGGCATATTACATCTATTATAATAATATATGTTATTAAAATATACTCTAAGCATATTAAACTGGAAAATATGTTAGAAAATTGTGGCAAATAATAATAAACCTACAAACATAAAATTCTATCTTGACTAGGATTCACATTTACTCATATATTAGGTATAAGTCTTTTTATTAAATAAAAGAATAATTTATTGTTTATCGAAGGACAGGCGTATATATATGCATATTACATAAATACATAATACATTATAATAGGCAATAGCTAATAATTTCATTACCTATACTTTGTAAGTAAGATTTTTGCTTTTTATATTGCCTGTTCAGCGTACGATATTAGATTACTAATTAGTCTAAAACTTCGTTTAGAACATCGCAAGATCCTAAATAAGTGGTGTATTAAATAAAAATATAAAACTGTTCATTGTGTTTTTAATTTTATAACATATTTATAACATTTTGATAAAACCAACACGTCATGCATATTCCCTAAAACGTAAAGTATTTATCACTTTTTTTTTAATTGCAACAAAGTAGATAACTTACAAGCTAGTTCAGTAAATAACTAACATATTTTTATAGATGGTAAGTGTTTATCCTAAAAATTAAGTAACTTCAAAATATACTGATAAGCTTATATAAAAAATCTTTAAGAGACTTTAACGAACAATATTTTTTGTTAAATACGATGCGAGTAAACGGACCAGGTAGGTATAGAATTAATATTTAGAACTCAAAAGATTAATTTCAAGATAAAAACATTTAACATCCATCGTACGCCTAGCTGTCTTAACAATAATAATAATAATAATGAACATAGGTATGTTATCACGTATCTCTATATATGCATTTCCGCGTTTAAGTGTGTTCACTCAATACGAGCGTTTGAATTTTCTTACGAGTAAAAAAAAATCGTATTTCCTAGTGAGTAGGTTCACTAGCGAATACAATATATATATACATATAAACTATACCATAAGGATGTCTATTCAAAACCAAATATTATATATTGTGTACCAATATAATATGTAATGTAACACATTAAGTATCATATTACAGATATTATTACTAAAGCGGTAGTTGGCATCACGGCCGTTTTGCTTTCTTGGTTTCTTAACTTTTTAACAGGAATTATCCCGAAGATATTATATCAACATAATATCTAAACTATAATGTGTTTATTTCAGCTTAGGCCACGCGTCGTAGGCTGAATTTTCGGTCCACACGAATAACTTCATCATTTAACCAGTCTGTTGGGCATTATCGAGACAAAATCAAAATGTCTAAATATCCTGCAGTATTATAAAGTGCGTTTAATTTTTCCTCGCCCACCAGAGGCGTGCAAGGTGGCGCTATCGCGGCATTATAATACTTTATGTATTATATTATATTATATTTCCGGACAAGCTTTTTTGGGTGGGCGCTTGTTTATAGACGATGTGAGTTATCATTATACATATTATATTGTTTGTAGTATACATGCAGTGGTTATAGGCGTATCATAAAAAATATATATTATAGTATTATATTAACGGCGAACACAGCTATAGTGTATATCTACAGTAATATAATAATAAACGTCCTACGACGACGCTGTTTGATAATCGGAACTAGGAGGATACGAATGTAATGGTGGCAGTATATGAATTAATTTCTACGACTTGAATTACGGTATTTTACGATATTTCGTGATTTTCCTAAGACCAAAACGACGCAGATTTCGGTTGTGGTCGCATACGAAAGTGGAATATCTAAATTGTATAAACTGTTTAAGACAAATTCAAATAAAATAGATATAGCTTATACCTACCTAATAATAAACTGATATAGGCACACAACTAATAAATAGTGATTCGTAGGTCCCCCACATAACATTTTAGACCCTGGTACTAAATGTTTTTGCGGCCCCTACACAAAACTTTCAAAAAAATACAACCCATTACAAGCGACACGAGTGTCCTATACACAATGTTCACTTAATAGATTAATAATATGCAATGATAACATAAAATATTAATTAATACAAAATAAGTTTTTCCATCAAAATTTCAAATTTCAAAAATTACAAATTATTTTAAACAGGCACCTAAAATAGCCGGGTTGCCGTATTTCATGTCCAACAGGCCCCTATCCCTATGCCTGGCGAAATGATAGAGCGAACTATGAATTTCTAGGATACGATGATATTAATCGATACAAACATGTAAATACCCGTCTCGGGGAGGATTCTTCGTCTTACTATGTTTGTACCTGACATACGGTGGTGATATTCTTTACTTAATTACGAAAATTAGCTCCTATTAGCCGTTATTACAGTACCTATGAACATCTCATATTTAAAATAATTCTTAATTAGGTGCATGATTATTTACAAATATTTGAATATTTGTTGTAAAATAACATATGAATGTATTAAGAAATAACTTACTAAATTGCAGTAGATAGGTACAAGAAGAAAAGATGACCTTATATTGTTTTCATCAAAGTTAATCTCTGTAAAATGTAAAAAATATCAGTGGTCATTGTGTGTTTACCGACATGGAAGCATAAATTATTAATTATATGTTAGACTTGCAAACTATATGTATTATATATACATGTCTGTGTGTTCTATGTACAAAACATGAATACCGTGTACGTCTAATTAATTATAAATTAATGCTAAGGAATAAGTACGAAATTTTTTTTCTTGTTCGTATTGCATCGATTGTGTTTGGTCAAATTAAAACTCCGATAACAATCGCATAAAAAGACAATTCAATTATTTGGTAGCGCCTCTAAACCTGCAATGACTTCATTGTGATATTGTTTATTCTACAAACAACGGGGTGCCGCCAACAAGTATTCTGCTATAGTTGTATTCTACATCATGCACAAGATACATGTATTAATCAACCAATGACCCCGAGATATTGAAAGTACGCCAACTGACCATGCCTAAGCATGTGGGTGCCAACCCATGATAAAGCGGTGAAATACAACTGGCCACAACCATATTTTCCATTCATGGTTTCCATGAACACCGATCTATCGAAATGTAATGTGATTTTGTTGTAAATTCACTATTCAAAAATACTTACATATTATAATGTTATATGTTCCATTTGTATTAGAATTGGCTTGGTATAAATTATTATTTTTTATACATTATTTTATATTAATGAGATTATGTTCAACCTGGCTCCCCTCCTACGTAAATGAATTGGTTTGTTACATTCTATATTGAAGTAAACTACAAGTGTCTTGTCGAATATTATTATGTCCATATACATTATATTTATTATTTATACTTAAGCAATAATTAGGTGTTAGTTGTTAATGATGCTCGTTTTAATCATTCAAACACATAGTTTAGCACATTACATTGCATTTTAGTATTTAACTAGGTATAGTATTATTTAATGTGTATTCGTTTGATTTTTGATTTTAGTTTTTAAAAAATAAATGTTGCCTATTACTTCAAACATACTGTACAACGACTCTACATGCGTTAAGCTTTTATTTTGGCTTTTATAGGCACTGTATTGGAAGTTCTGAAGTGGGTAGATACATGGGCTTGACTGTAATTTTCTTTTTCAAAATGTATACCCTAGAACAGCTGGCATTTCATATATTTGTATGTGTATACGGTTATCGAAGATCTGAAAAATCATATCGCTTACTTCTGCATGAGTCCGGTTCGACTTCAACCTCTCCGTTTTAATTCGCACGTTTCTATAATTATGGTATTTGATTTTATTATCTATTATATAGTATTACCTTAACGACAAAATATGTAGGTACCTGCAGAATACCAACAGCTAATATCTAGGTATTATATCTACTTATATGACACAATATCAAGTAGTGTCGGGATAATTCGATATTTTATGTCATTGGAAATCCAGAAAACCGACCTCCGTTGAAAATGTGCTCGTATACCTTGATGTAAAGCAGTTTCAGCGATCTATTTACAACGATGTGTGTGTATATGTGTGTGTGTGAGAGAAAGAGAGAGAGTATTCATCGTAAGCTACGACCCACGGACACATTCCAAACGCTGCCTTCTAATGCATAGGTATAGAGAATATAATATTATATAATATCAAAACAGCATCTCCGTCGTCTTGGTCATTATTATTACCATATTTTGGTATACCAATACTAAGTAACGAACTGGACAATAATATTAAAATAATAATGGTAATAATAATAATGTGATAGGCAGAAATAATCGTTTAATATTGCTGCGGTGACGACGTCGACATCAAAGCTCCACGGACGTCTCCACCGCCGCCGTACATTCAGGTCGGTTCTCCCACTACGCTCGTCGGCCGCCACAGCCTCAGCGAGCGCGCTCCTATAGATCGCTCGATCGCCGCCACCGGCACTTAACCGCGGCAGTTTGTTTGCGTACGCGGTCAACTGTAGTCGACGTCTCTCGGCGAGGATATGCCGTTGCTGGTGGTCACAAACCATTGCAAGTATTGTTTACATGATTATTTCGATCGTCATCGTAGGTATTACGAAGTCCGGTGAATCAACTTTTAGCGGTCATTTCTTATCGAGATTTCATAGGGCCGCCTGTACGTCGAATTCGGACGTTATCGCAGTCGTTCGTCGGAGCACGCGTAATATAATATTTTTATAGTTCGCGCGCGGTTTTTTTTGATTTTTTTCCGACCGTCGGAGAATTTTCATTCCGCAGCCAAACAAACAAGCAAACACGTCCGCGGTCTCCAGGACGTTCCCCACATGCTATATTATAATAGCGGTGTTGTTTTCGAGACCCGTTAAATTGTATTATTCTTATCGTTTTCATTAGCGTTTTACGACATTTCAACGAATTTTAATTAATCGATCCCGAGTACCGCGCCGGTGTTCACGCATATACGCAAAATTATGTTGATATACCCGACGGCGGGCAGCGGGGCGATCAGTAGCCGTATGAACGCGTCGGGCCAAAAGGGCGGTCGGGCCGCGGCCAAGGGTGCTGTGCAGCGAAAAGCGGAGGCCAACAAGACCAAGAGCAGTAGCAAGCAGACGGTGCTGTGGAAGCACGCTGACGTCGAACAGGGAGTGGTCGTTGTCGATGAGAAACAGTTAATGCGGCTGGTTAAGACGGAACCCATCGAGAACTATTACCGACTGGACAGCGAACCATTCGCCAAGTAAGTTTCTAGATTTAATATTTTATTGTCTATAGGTATACAAAGATAATATATTCGGAATGTTCGCTTTCCGCTGCTTATTCTACTGCTTGCCACTTTCCTTTTACTTGTTTATGTAATTTTTCGACGTGAAACATTGATTTTCTACGTATATATGATTAGTTACGAAAAGCGAATTAAATAAAGAAAATAAATGATTAACGACTAAGTTCAAATTCGAAATAACAGTCAGTACACACGAAGACAAAAGTATTACGAGTAATAATATACTTATGATTAAATATAAATAATACATTGCTCAACGTAGTAAAAATGTATTTCGAAACATTAGCTCTAATCATAATGAAGCTTAGATAATAATTATATTATATTATATATTACTGTTTAATATTTATATAATAACTAGTTGTATAAGATGACTTTGCTCCGGAAAAAATGAGTGCATAAAATACATCGCTATATCAGTGTATCTCGGTTTTAGTGTACATCGGTTCACAAGCAAATCAGCGTCGGTATACCTCCCTATTGGCTAGGTAAATATTAATAAATACCACCTGTGGTGAGATCGCTCCCCTCCCTGGCTTTGTGATAACTTCGTCTCTGACTACTATCACCCAAAAATTAGTTTCAATTTTCTTCGTGGTTGTAATCGGTTTTGCGCATCTGTGTCATCTATTACAATTATGGAATCAGGACAATATTATATCTGTTCACATAGGGGTGTTACTGTGTTCAGATCGTTCTTTATCTAATTTTCTGTTTATCTTCTTCAATAAATAAGTAAATTATATGCTGATAATAATACTGTCAAAATATTTTTTAACCACATTCAACTTTCGGGAGGTGGTAACATAATCCCTTGTAAATCCATTAATGTTCGCCATTTGTCTTATAAAACTATCGTATAATAAGTCTAAAATTACAAGCTCTCCATCAAGACTAATATTGTAATGTTGGTATAATATGATGTATGATATAACTTGTGAATTAAATGTAGAAAATTACTTAAATTTTTTAAGCACTATAATATATCGTTGATATTTATTTTGTATGTGTTCCTAATTGAACGTGTTACACGATATTAAGTTATAATCGCTAGAATATACTATAAGAAATTATTAAAATTACTTTGATTATTTAACATTGATAAAACTATACCTGGACGTATAAAGAAATTTAACAATGAACATGTATAAAAACTAAGCGTAACTTAAGATTAGAATTACATTAAATATAACTTATAAGTTTTTATCCATAAATAATTCCAATACTCTACAGTTTACATTTTGAATTATTTATAAAATTAGTTAAAAAAGAAGCAAAACGATAACTAGTACCTTTATAAAGATATACTATCGTCATGTAAATCCTGTATGGCTCCTTCATGAATACTTAACACCATTGTAAAACAATACTTTTCTAATTATATGGTTTAATTGTATAAATTATAAGTAACTTGAATACGACATACGTCATTTGTGTAAAAATGATCTATTAAGTAGCAATACCGTTAATCGTTATGATTACTTGATGAGCTCTTGAAATAACATAAAAGAAAAAGTAATAATACAATTTACAAATAAATTTTTATAAGACATAATTTAAATATAATAACAACATTTCATACCTATGACTGAATACTTTCAGTTTTCCTTGGATATTTAACCTACTATATATTATGTTATTAAATCAATTTCATAATTGAATAGGTTATTCACTAATTATACATTAAATTATGGTAATTATAGCGTATTAACAAGACGTTAATTGTAGTATAATTTGATGTTTTGAAATTTTATTGTGGTTTTGTATTTATAATACTAGTATATAATTTGAAAAATATATATATTTACTAGGTATAGGTACTTACCTCATACCTATACCGATTATTAATGTCTTGTTAAGACACAATATAATGTTAATTAGTATTATTATTAGGTACTTTAAACATTCCACTTTGATTTTTACTCTTGTTCAAAATTTGCATGAACATATTATGTGGATTATAATTATTTTAATTCCTGAAACGGGATAAGGAAGTCAACATTTTAACAATGGTTGTCCTTACGGTCTGGTCGCCGGCAACCGTGTAAATTTCAAAATTACATGTTCGTTATTTTCAGTGTATACTCGGAGTACACTAACTTAAAAAAAAAACGTGTCTTGTACTTATATTATATTATACTATAAGAGTACAATGTTTTATCATTTTTTTCTCTTATCGTTTTTATCGACATTTTATTATTATATACTTCGTCAGGCTAATTGATTATTATATGGGATTCGAACAATGTTTTTTTATCATTTTTTTTCTTGCCTTCCGCCCGTGTCGGACACACGACTGACATGCCGAGGACGAAACTGTCAATACATTATTACGAACACGTAGCAGGCCGACATATAGTTACGTATGCACGGCTCGATCTCTGCGCGGCAGATCCATCCGATTCTACGACCTCTTTGGTAATTAACGAAAAACAACTATACCGGATTTTATACAAGGATATATTATTATCATCGTGCTCACACACACACTCGTGCACAAATACACTCACATTCGCTCACATTTACTGATACTATACAAAAATATATATATACAGTGGCTGCAACCGTGACCATCATTACTGTCTCGTGCCATGACACCAGGGATCCACCCCGATAACTACCGATGGCAGTTTAACGATCCATTATACGTTGTACGTTTTATACGTTTATGTACCAGGTATATGCGAGAACCCAAATTTGGTTATAACTTGGTTATAATCCCTTATACGTGCAGGGGCCATTGCATTTGTAGACAAATCGACGTATAATATCTACTCTCTGTAATGTCTAGACTACGCCGCCGCAGGTATATCAATCTCTGCACGAAACACCGGTCTGACTATATTTTGTGGACATTAATTGAGTACAACTATAAAAATATTGTGTTGCGGGGTCGTCATAAACATCATATTTTATAAGGCAACGCGAGTCCGATGATTGCTATGTATATTTATAAGTAGAGAGAGCGTGACACACATTAACCCGGGGGTGCGTTATGGACCATGGTGAAATAGGAAGTATATATTATTCACACAACAAAAATCGTAATAATGATTGTATTATAATAAAAATACCCCATAGCAATGCCGTCGAGTTTGCTTGTATATTATAATATAAAATAGTAATATCATTATCATCGTAATCATAAAAATAATCATGATGTGACGACAATTAGTTCCTGGAAAACGCTATTAAGGTTCGTCCTTGCAATGAAAACCCGATTCACCTCGTGGCGTTAGCGAGGCGGTTGCAAAAACAAAATGGGGGCATCGACTATAGCATAATAATGAATGCTCGCGTGAATATGAACACGTTAATATACATAATAATAGTAATAAAGTACACGATATTATATTCAGTAAGTCATATCAATTCGTAGACTACCGTCACATAATACCCTCCAGCACGTGTGCGGAAGCTTTATATGCATATAATATATGTATTAAGCAGTGTGGCCGCAGCGATAATAAGACATATGGGCCTGAAAGTTCAAAAGTAGTGATGAAGAGTTGGAGGAAGAGGGGCGTGTACGTATAAATATTGTCATGGCGGCCGTTTGTCCATATTAGCCTTCAATGGCACATACTTCAACATCATTATATTATTATTTATTATATTATTAGGTAATAACTAATAGGCACGTATCTGGAATTAGAACTTTTTAAATTTTTTTAAATTCGGTTCGGTTTTTAGAAGTAAAATAATTAATTCTGCTCTGCCTCATAAAAAAAACCAAAAATATCGGAATATACATTATAATATAAAGTTAAAATATCAACTGTTTTGATTGATACCCATTATTTCAAACAGTGATACTATAATTTTTCATGGCACGAAATATATTGGAAAACGCGTATAGTATTATTTACTATCAAAATATAGGCACCGTAAATATCATTCTCTAAAATAACTAAATCAATATTCCGGCGAGCTTCTGATTTCAGAAACTATTCTTTTCGATATCGTTCCAGTCCCTGTAATGCATATATCATATTATCATGTGCGAGCATTTGAGACAAAAATGAAAATAACATATGATACCTAAATCTTCAAAAATCATCGGAATAGCTCATATTAATATTCGAATAGATAAAACTATTACGTGGACTATGAACTACTCCTTTTTCGTATCTTGGGAAAACAGATTTCGCATAAAACAGATTCACTTGAAGTTAATAGATTAGATATGACATCTAGATTATACTTTTGAATATCATTGTCAAAAATGATTAATTTACCGCCCGGACTGTAATAAGAGACATGTACGCAGAGTGGATTAACTCCGGCCCCGCCGAATGCGTAAAAATGATCAACGTTTCGAGTTGTATATTCGATAGGTTTTGGACCATTTGTGTCGGTGCAAGTGTTAATATATATTTTGTCTTTTAATAATTAGTAACTTACACACCTTCAGCCAAGACGAACAAATCAATTCGGTCAGCCGCGCTGTTATATACCTTTATTATGTGTGCGCGTTTGCACATGCATATATATTATACTTGCTAAAGGTGCATAATATATTATTTTATATATATAACTACCCATTCAACGCAAGACGCGTGGAAGTACAATAAAATATACGGCGAGACGTACTTATAATGTATATTATACATATAATATTTGTATGCGTCCTACACGTGGCTATACGACCGAAGTATATAAATGTGGTGCCTATATGCTCGGTGTATATAAAAAAAAAATTGCGTGTATCACTCCGGCTGCTGCAGCGAACGGGTTTCGGCCGTACCTGCTTCCACGTCATGTATTATATATAAATTATTAAATATAACGTACAGGTATATTGTGTGTGTTTTAGTTTCGGGGTCCGATAAACTCTCGCCGTGTACAAGTACCTACGCGATATAAATATTATATTGAAATATACATTGTACGGTTAATCGTTCCAGACCGTCATAGTTCCTTGATATTTGAATTTGAGTTTTATTGAACTTCTG